TGAGCTGTGGTGTTCCACAAGGAAGCATATTAGGTCCGTTACTGTTCCTAATTTATGTAAATGACATGTCATCAGCATGTGACTGCAACTTGTTCCTGTTCGCGGACGACTCAGCCCTGCTGGTCTCTGGCAGGAACAGGTTGCAGGTTGAAAAAACCCTCAGCTCCGAGCTCGGCAGAATCTGCACCTGGCTCGCCGATAATAAATTATCATTACACCTGGGTAAAACAGAGTCCATTCTCTTCGGTTCGAAACATAATCTCAGCAAATCCGACGACTTCTCAGTTGCAGTGGGCGACATTATTGTCACAAGTAAGAAGGAAATTACATACCTAGGATCTATTCTTGAGGCAAACCTCTCCTGTGACAAAATGGCATCCAATGTAATAAAAAAAGTCAATCAAAGAACTAGATTCCTATACCGGATCTCCTCTCTGGTAAACAAAAACACCCTGAAAACTCTGGCAGGAGCACTCATTCAAGGGTACTATGACTATGCTTGCACGTCATGGTACCATAGCACCTCCAAGGCGCTAAAAATAAAACTTCAAACATCGCAAAATAAACTGGTCAGACTACTGCTTGACCTTTCATCTAGAACCCACCTCACCTCTGCCCACTTTGACAACCTAGGATGGCTTAGAGTAGACGACAGAGTACAGCTACTTGCAATGGGCCTGGTCTACAAGATCCACTACACCTCTATGGTACCCATGTACATGTCAAAATTCTTCCCAAAGGTCAAGGAATACCATGATCATAACACCAGAGGGAGCTCCACAAATCATGTGAAACCCAGATTTGGCACAAAAAAGGGGGAATACACGTTTCGCAATTATGCCACATCAAGGTGGAACGCTCTTCCCACAACTGTAAAGGAAAGTAAAACTATACTTACCTTCAAAACCTCTCTTAAAGAGCACCTTCGGGGGAGAGCATTGCAAAACTGGCCCCGGTAATGGTACAAATCTCAACCTGTCGTTCAATGGACAGCTTCCCCCCCCCCCCCCATCTATGTATATACTCGCATTTTAGACTCTGTTACTAACTGTATATCTGTAGACTTGGTATGTCTTAAATGTCCGGTTAGGATGTATTAGAACGAAATCTAAAATGAAAATTGTAAACAAGCAATCTGTATGTAAAAAAACCACCTGTATGTAAATTGTAAATAAGCCATCTGTATGTCAAATATGTCTTATATGTCTTAAATGACATGATGAATTGGAAATGGGGGACCCTGATGTAAACAAGACGAAAGTCTTTCTCTGGTCTGCATCCCCTTAACAATTGTATGTTTTGAGCTGTACTGTACTGTACCCAATATACAAGCTGTTAATAAACTTTTCAATCAATCAATCAAACGCCATACAATCATGTGACATGTGACGTCCGAAGCAGCAACTGCTTCATTTCCTGAATGAATCACTTGACTGGTTCGCGGTCCATTCACGCGATTCAATGCACTGCCTCGTCTCGATTCTGACAGGTGACAGGTTGAAACAGTTTCAAATTTGAGCGCTTCAACACTTTATGACCGCTCTAAACAATGCACAATGTGTGGGTTGTTGTCGTAGTTTGCGTTGTTGCTGTTGAGTTGTTGTTGGTATTGCTTGCATTTGAATTGTAGTATCATTATAGAGCAAGCCAGGAAGAAAGATAGGTCGTTCTGGCTCGGGAAACACTTTGAAATGTGGAGAAGTTGTGAACAAAAAGACAATTATCAGTAATATAAAAACACTTCAATATTTCAAGGAATAGATAGCTCAGTGGATAGAGCCGGCGGCCCGAATGCGGCGATGTCCTCCGCGCAGCTGGTTCAAAGCCCGGAATGGATGTATTTTAAATAATCATTGCTTTTCAACTTTAATAACTGATAAAAGGCCCTCTCCGCCCAAAAACATGTCCAGCACTCTATAGTCTCTTCTCAATAACCCAATACACACAATTATCAATCTTTAATTGCAAATAGAACATGATATTCAGTCTTAGTGTGTGTGTGTGCATCGAATATTTTTCAAGGCAAAGATACGTTAAACCCACTGCAGCCTTGCACTTCGCCAGGAGAGGTCGCTGTAACTGAAGCTTCGAGAAATGAACCTATTTCCGACACAATTGTCCAAGTGGTTCGATGCTTCATTCAAAGCTTCATTTTGTCATCACTAGCTAACTTGATCGAGCCACTCCTGGTCCTTTGATCAGACGGGAAGCTAAAGAACGAGCAAGACCCATTGCTGGTATGATAACAACCTGGTACTAAGCACACAGGCATCTTGTTAAAATGATCTTATCTTAGCCAGCGCCATATAGATAGATAGTAGGCTTGTTTAAGACGCGTTGCGGCTCGCCTCGAAAGTAGACGAGAATAGCCGATCGCAGCCGGAGGAGAAGGAGGAGGTTCTTCTTCTTCTTCTTCTTCTTCTTCTTCTTCTTCTTCTTCTTCTTCTTCTTCTTCTTCTTCTTCTTCTTCTTCTTCTTCTTCTTCTTCTTCTTCTTCTTCTTCTTCTTCTTCTTCGGCGGATTGCAAACAACTTTAAGGTGCCTACCGCCACCTCCGGAGTCGGCTTGACTCGGTTTGCATTTATAAAGAATGCACATGTGTTTAATCGTTAATGTCAGATATGTACTAAGTAAATACATTTGTTCCTGCTCAACATTAGATTCAACTTTATTGTTATTGCACATATTACAGGTACTGAGACAACGAAATGCAGTTTAGCTTCTAACCAGGTGCAACAAGCAGTAAAGTGAAACGTAATGTACACAATCTACAGAATAAAATATAGAATGAATTGAATGATGAATAAACAGTGAAGGGTATGAATACACTAGATATCAGCCTGAGAGCAGTATGAACAGTGTGTATGAATATGCTAAGATATATAAAGTATGAAAACGGTAAGCAGTGCAAGTATAGTATAAAATATATAGATATTAATTTCATGATGATAAACATTGTGGAACAATGATGAAAAATGTGAACGGATGTGACTTCGCCACTCGCTCTCTCAAAAGTTGGGCCATTTTGTCTTCATGCGCTAATGAGCAACTCTCATAGGAATGAACGAGGCCCCGCCTCCCACGCTGTATCCAGTTCTTATTATACATCCATGCTCCACCAGGGGGGGCTGGTGTCTGTCAGGTAGCTCCATCTCTTTCAGCACCATCAGAACTGCATTCCTAATCAATGCAGTTACATTAAAAACATATGTAATCAGATTACTGTTACATTCATTCAATGTGTGGATTACTATCAGGATTACAATGTTACTGAAACCTAAAAAGATCATAGTGTTTGTTGTAAAGGATCAGATGTTCTCTCTTCTCTGTCAGCTGTACTGTTCTGTAGGATAATACTTTCAGTGTGAATCTATACGTCTACTGCCTGAATCAGCTTTATGGTTTTCACTTTCTTTGCTTCATTAGTTCTGTTTTTAATTCAGCAGGTGAACCTATATGTTCATAGAATAGTGTGTGTGAGCTTAACTGTGTGTGTTAAACTAAAACGGAGCATTTTCTGTCAGCTCAGATTTGATTTCTGCTTTTTGAAACTGTAGTATGTGCTCATGTGTTTCAGTGTTGGTGTATAGGCTGCTGCCGGAATATGCTGAGTGACAGGCAGCTTTTCTTATAAATAAAATAATTGTTGATCCTAAATATCTTGGGTTCTTCTTTTTCAATGTTTACATTTTTCCGTGTCTTACATCATACACTTAAGTAAAACATCTTATTGCTATGTATCTCCTCTTTATTTGCATTGCATTTGATATTGAGGTAATTTAAGAGTAAAGAAAAGTAATCAGGTTACATTACTTTGGATTGTGATACCCAGATTAGGTTACTGACTACAGCGTAACCAGTAATTAAACCTACCCTGCTAAGTAAGTGTTTCCTTTTCCAGTACTATCCAGACTTAGAGTGGCAAGCACAGGACAGAATAACTCAGGATATTATTACATCTACAGTGATTAGAAATATTCTATTCTCAGGAATATTCTGTGAAGAGCCAAATCAGGCTAGGGAAGAGTGCATGTCAAAGAGGAGCAGTGTTTCTCACCCACCAACATAAAACAGTTGCTGGACAGTTCATTCCTGAAAAACAAAACAAAAAAGTGTGATTGTAAAAGAAACAAACTTAAGCGAGCTGTCTTAAAAAGTGAAGTCTCAAAGTGAGGCACAGCAGTTATCACGTTTACAGATGACATCTTAGTGACAGAGCTCACTGCACACAAGATCAATCCAGCTGCTAAGAAAGCCCCCCCCCCCCCCCCTGCATTCTGTGTGAGGATGATAATTAAAAGACTACCAAAATAAGACTTTTCATTGCACTGATTTTCTGGACATTGCATTCCTGTAAGTCCAGCAGCCGGTGATATATTTTGTTTCTCCAACTACTGTATGTCTGATTAGTATTAAAACAATGTAACAAGAATACGAATATAATGAAAAATGATCATCTGTTACAACCCAGTCTCCCGGCATTTCGTGTTATAGTCACAAAATTAATTTAATCTATTGATTCGTGTTCACCAACACGATTTTCGTGTCACACAGAACGATTTTAAAAGCAATGTATTTCTATTGGTAGTATGTTTCGTGCCTGCACCACGTCTTTTTGTCCGGTCGGGTCTTCGAAGACCGGAAGCTGTGGGGTTCATAAAAACATTTTCTTACTCAATATCTTACCCTAAGCCTAACCCTATCCCTTTTATTTGAAATTGTATAATGTCGGAGTTTTTCTTGCCGTCCGTGAGGAAAAGAAATGGGGCTCAGAGCCTCAGAATACTGAAATCTGTATTTTTTAAAACCTTTTTTTCCTTCTAATTTGTTATTATTTGATGCAGGCACAAATCAATAGATTAATTTCGTGACTATAACACGAAATGCTGTGAGACTGTGTTGTCTGTTATGTAGGTTTGGAGAATATGTGCTAAAGCTGCTCTGTGGGCTTCTAAACATGTAAGAATTAGAGATAGAAAATGACACCTTGAAACATCAGATATCGGTTTGACATCATTTATTCGCTCAGCTGTTCAATTGTTATCTCTGTAACAATTTAAACACAGCAATGTAAAACAAGTTTCAACAGAAACTTTATCAAAATATACAATTTCAAATATCCAGATAAAAATCTATAAATATTACAAAGCGTACTGTTCAATCACATTCACTTAGAGTCCAACATTTGGCAGGTTATCAGATGTTCAGTGCTACACACCTCATCAAATCCACAACGACAACATGGCTTCATTTACTGAGGAATACACGAGCACAAAACTCAAACTATACTCTGAAGATACTTCATCCACAAAACGATTAATTGCATATCAATTGCTCATCGTGTGCAGCCCTGAAAAAATAATGTTTTTAAGAGTAAAAGATAAAATGGGTTGACTGATTGTTATAAAAATCATCCTTCTGTGAGTTTTCCTTTAAAGGAATAACGTTAATTACAACTTCCTTCTGAATTTTTTGGTGACATCACGACAGAGAGGTCAGAGGTCTGGGACGACGACAAAGCAACAGCTGACCCAGATTATTGAACCTATTTGAGCTAAATACCCCTTATTGCATGATAGCACAACCCCGGTGAGCCCCCCCCCCCCCATTAAAAATGACACTTTGTCTTTAAGATTAGAGAGAGAAACATCAGATACCAGTTTTGTTCTCAACTGTAAGGATCTATATAAAGTGAAAGTCTATAACTCAGTCCAACCTCTGCGTTCCTTCATTATTATTAACTTAATTAGTGACTGATTAGTTAGAATTTGAATTCATAAAGTTTTAACAGCATGGCAGTGCACATACTTCTGTGCTTTTAGGAAATGTTTCAATAACAAGATAAGATATGCTATTATAAAAACCACGTCTGGAGTAAAATCCTCACCCCCCACATCACATACTGCTAGTCCGGGCACATTGAGAGTGATTTGTGCTCTAACCACTGTGTCTCTATAGGATCCACACAGTGCTCAGAGGTGTCTGAAGGCACACAGCTGCACCCCCTCCCGGCGGTAGAGGGCCAGCAGGGCGGGGTCCCTCAGCACGCCCAGCTCGTGCTGTCTGTCAGCGGACTGGGAGAATTCGTCGGGGCCCTCCCCACAGCCCCCCTCCTGGGGGAGACTGGGGTACCCCGGGTGGACCATGAGCTCTGCTGTGACCACAGGCTGGTGAGAGCCTGCTGACCGGCTGGAGGGAGAACCTGGGGGCCCCGCAGCCAGCGCCTGGTTTAGGGCCCGCTGCAGGTTGGGGACGGACATGTTCTGGCCCATGGTGGTCAGCCCCAGGTACACATGGGGCCACCTGGGGACAGAGGGGGGACAGTCAGTGTGTGTCAGCCAGAGAGAGGAAAGAACCACTGCATGCATCAGCAGGTTATTATTCAACCTTCAATTAACAACAACAAGTTGCATCAACTCTCATCAGGGACGTGCAGCAGAGGTGGAAAGTAACTAAGTACATTTACTCAAGTACTGTATTTAAGTAAAATGTTGAGATACTTGTACTTTACTTGAGTATTTCCATTTGATGCTACTTTGTACTTCAACCCCACTACAATTCAGAGGTAACTGGTGTACTTTTACTCCACTACATGTATTTAATAGCTTTAGTTGATTTACAGATCTGGATGAATGATGTGAAATATAATCAAGTCTTAAATCAGACTTTAGTTCCACCTGGAGTAAATTCACAAGCTACCCTGCAGTCATTCAAACTAGCTGCACCCGAGTACTTTTCCCACCTCTGTGCAGGGCGACACCTCTGGGGATTAATACATCTAATGGGATTCAAATATTGATCAATCTGTGTTTTAATTGAACCTGCAACAATGTCTGCAGGTTTTGAGTAGACAGTGTGTTCGCCCTGGAAAAAGGACAATTAACTCTTTGGTTCACTCCAAAGGAAAGCTGTGCACAGCCACTCATTGCATCACATTAATGAAGCCATGCCAACACATGGCTGTGTTAGAGAGATCTCAGCTGATTTGATCACCTGCTCACACATTAATACTTCTGCTCCCTCCACCAGTGTGCAGATCTATGAGTGAAAAAGACAGCAGAGTTCAAACACAGTTCCACAGACTGTGTGTGTTGTAAAGTGAATACTCAGCTGTGACACACAACCATTACACTGGGCCGCATGCTTTATCATTAATGTTTCACTAAATCTATCATTAAAGCCACGATACCTGAAATATCATTTTAATCGTCATGAAATGTGGACAAGATGATCAATAGCAGCTCGGTCTGTCTGAGGAACCTGATGATCACAGATTTGGTTCCTTGTACGAATCTATTAAAAGGTCCCATGTCATCTCTACTGATCATAATTCCATTGTTGAGGTCTACTAGAATAGATTTACATTGTTCAATGTTCCACACTCACATTAGTTTCTCATACAGCATCTCTGTAAAGTCTGTGTATTCACTCTCTGTCCTACACGCCTTGTTGGAGCTCCTCCCCCCCCCCTCCCTATGAGCCCAGTGTGATTGGTCAGCTCGCCCACTCTGTTCTGATGAGTCCACCACCGTTACAGCGGAGCATCAGTGATTATGTGTTACAATGGCGTTTGTTAGCAACCAGGAAATGACACCAGTAATGACAAACAGATGAGAACGCTGCGTGGGGTCTGGGTGCCGTGTGGGCGGGACGTTGCGCGGCTCGCTGCTGTGAGGAGCGGACAGTGTGAGCTGGTTTACTGGAGTGGTTTCCTGGTTGCTGCGTGGGGTCGGCGAGACAGCGAGACACAGCGAAACCCAGCCCGAAACCAGCCTGAGCACACACACACACCCGCAGCCTGGCTGTGAGTCTGTGTGTGTGCTCACTGATTGGTCCATTTGGACCAATCCGCGGACTTAACGTAACGGCTCCGCGGACGTAACGTGACGGCTCCGCGAATTGGTTCATTTGGGTATGGTTACGTCACCATACCCAGGAAGAAAAAAATGTCATGTTTACAAAAAACGATATATATGTTAAGACTTTTCTCGTTCTTAATATAGACTATATTTAGGGTCGATATGTGTTGACTTTACTTTAAAATAGCAGATCTCTGTGACCGGATATAGTTTGGTTTAGTGAACGTGTGTCTCTTCCTTGGAGGAACAGCATCGCCCGGACTCCGCTGCTCCTCCGTGCAGAGAGTCTGCAGCGGTGTGTGTCAGCGACGTGCAGTCAGGGGAGGCACGGATTGGCCATCGGGAGAGTCGGGACTTAAACGCCGCGGCTATCTGGCTAGCACTTAGCATGTGGGACCGGACAGCTTTGATCCCCATCGACAGTGGCGATTCTAGAGTCTGTGGGGGCCCCTCGAACCAGCTTTCATCACCATCAGTGGCGCCCCAACACACTCTCCCCCCCCCCCCAGAGCGGAGCAAGGCAACGCAACTTAAAATAAGAAGCAGCATTTTACGGCGTGCTATGCATGGGGCCGCCTGGAGGGGGTTTCCCGACATGTCGTTGCAGTAAATTAAAGGGTGTTTCATGTTGTCGTTGCTGTGGACCTTCTTAATACCTTGGAAAATGCCGTTTAAAAGGTCCCATGTCAGGCTTTTCTGGTTACGACCCGTCCCCTTGTGTGTTATGAAGGTTTTTCTGCATGTAAACGGTCTGCAGAGTCACAAACCCTCAAAGAACACCCTGTAGGGAGTAAAACTCTAACACAGAAAAGACCTGTCTATGCTGCCCCAGAACGCCTCGTTGGACATTTCTCTTTTTCTATTTGTTTCTTCCGGGAACCGCATGACGTCATGCGGTTCCCGGAACCAAAATGGACCAATCCGCGGAGCTCCTCACACACCAGGACCTTTAGCGTAAATGTTCAACTAACAGGGCGTCCCATTGACTTGCAAAGAGCTCCCTGAACGCTGGTAATAGACGAGTTGGGATGGCGGAGAAATGCTCTCCGCAGACCCATTCTCACAGCGTTTATTACTCAATATCAAGCCACACTTATTGTTTTTACTTCGGCTGTGCGTGTTTGTGTGTGCTCAGGATGAGTTTCGCGCTGTCCCGCTGTATCGCCGACCTGGAAACCACACCAGTAAGCCAGCTCACTGAGCAGCGAGCCTCGCAACGTCCCGATCAATCAGAGCACACTGGGCTCACAGGGAGGGGGGGGCAGGAGCCACAACAAGCCGTGTAGGACAGAGAGTGAATACACAGACTATACAGAGATGCTGTATGAGAAACCAATGTGAGTTTGGAAAATTGCACAATTTAAATCTATTCTAGTAGACCTTCCACCTCCTAGACAATGGAATTATGATCAGTAGAAATGGCCATGACATGGGACCTTTAATACTTTTTAATAGCCTTAATTTCCGCAAAATTTATTTATCAACTTTTAATACTTTTTAAGACACCACGGACACCCTGCATGAAAACACAAACTCACTTTGCAGACCATTTTAAAACCTATATAACACACTACAGGAAAGGGAAAAACACAAGTAAGCATAATAGGGCCTCTTTAATAATGCTAAAATATGTTGATTGCCAACAAAAAAGACCTGTGATATAAGCTGTCAATCAAAACAATGTTTTAGATTCTTTCTTTCACTTTATATATTTCATCTCCACTTCAACCATCACCCTCCGCTTGCTCTATAAAAGCCTGTTCACTCTGAAGTCTGTGTGAGGTGGTCCCATTCTGTCCTTATGAACACCAGTTTATCCATCTGATCCCAGGACTCAGGACCCTCCTCTAAGCCTCTGTCAGACCAGTCGAACCATTGAGAGGATTCATTGAGCTCAGTCCACACAGACCTGATTCCGTAGCGGGTGAACACAGGGATGGAGTCCCGAGCGTCCTTCTCCACCTGAGCGTAGAATCTTTGGAGGTGTGCTGGTAGCGCGGGGCAGCCCTGCAGCCCGGGCTCCAGGGGAACACGAGTGAACGGAATGTGGAGGTCTGACAGGACGAGTGCAAACACCTCACGCACCTCTGGAACACAGAGCAGCAACATCAGGACTCAGGTACACATCTACAGAGACATCATACAGGCATATTCCACCTAATGCAGACTATTGTGACCAACAATTAAAGAAAAACATGTCAAACATGTCAAATATAGACCTACAGTAGTCCAAATGCACGATATTGATGATAAAAGTAGTATATATATCCCTCCTGTTGTCTTTGGGTCAAATCTGACCGATTTACTACTTTCATCAATCATAACTTTTTTGTTTTACTTTCGATTGCATTAAGGCTTCATGATGTCCTTCACAGGAGACATTTGAACATAGAAAATTGCTGATCACCACTTTAGTTGCATTTTGGATGATTTAGTCAACTTTGCAACACCCATGGTGTTCCCGGTCACTCGCTCGCACGCACGCACGCACGCACGCACGCACGCAGTGTTTCATGTGTACCAGTAGTCTGATACAATATTTACAGTTTGAAAGGGTGTTAAATGAAATGTGGTGATGATTAATGGTTTTGTGTTAATGTAATAGCAGTTTAAACAGGACCGGTCAAATTTGACCTTGAACACCAAAGTAAGGGGGGGGGGGGGGAACGAAGACAATAGGACTAGGAGGGTTGAATATACTTTTATCATCAATACATATATATTCATGGTTGAATGCAGTTATTGCAGGTCGCTTTGTATAAAAGCGTTAGCTAAATAAAATATAAAAGAGTGGAAGGCTCTGTCCTCAATCAGACTGGTTACACCTGGAGTATTCCTTCACTGTGGTACTTCTACTTTGACTGAAGTACAATATCTGAGTACTTCTCCCACCTCTGCAGGTTTATTTGCCAGTCTTTTGTCGAGGCCTGTTTTTCCTGTTCCTAGTCGATGTTTGCATATTCAAATTTGTTACGTACTGAACTAGCTTGCCCAAGCTGTGTTTGAATGTCAGATCTCTTCACGGATACAAGTCAGCATGTTTAAGTTGCTTTTTCTTCCAGACTTGACTTGACACTACCTGGCAGGACATGGACGTGCTGGTGTCCGTCCATGTGGTGAGGCAGGTGACCCGTCAGATCCCTGAACAGCTGGACCTGTGCCCTTAACTCCAGCTCCACCTGGGAAGGAAAAAGCTCAACTGTAGCAATACCGTAGAGGAGAAACAGGAGTCTGGCTAGTTCCCAGCTATTTGGCCTTAACTTCAGTCAAAAATGCAACAGTTTCCATCTTGTGCCAATTCTGCAGTCATGCAAAATGACCCCACAAACACCTCATTTACACATGTGACACTTAGTTTGATGAGTCACCATCAGGCTAGTTTCAATGTTTCAGTGTTCAAATAATAATGGAACACCACTTTGAACCGGTTGAATCTGTGTTATAGCTCCACACACAGAGCAGCAGAGGACACAGCAGAGAATCACATCTCCAGTTGACTTCAGACAATGCTTGTTAAACACCACGTCATTGAGCAGTACATTTCATCTGTTTGAGTTGACATTTATAAGACATGTAACCACAATTCAATACTTCCAAAGTCACTTATGTTTTGGTTTCTGTTCAGTTTGGTTACCCTCTCTAATGTGTGTTCTTTCTCTTGCTCACTGATTTCCTAACTAGACTCCAGGTGTATTTATGTGGTTGGAGGCTGAACATAAAGAGATCAAGTGTGACCCCACACAGCCAAACAAACGGGGTTGTCTTGTAGAGTGTGACTCTGTGCCAGTAGCCACCCTCCAGCGTGCGTCATGCTCTGGCCTCTGTGTGTTTGATATATTATTACGTTTCTGTCTCAAACATACTTTCCTTTCCAGAGAAAGTTTGGGGTGCACACCGCACAGGATTTAAAACTTTTAAAGTATTTAACTCCTCTGGTCTTTGGGCAGTGTATTGTGCATTGCAGATAACATTAAAAAAATACTTTTACAATAAAGTCCTGCATTCAAAATCTTATTTAAGGAAAAGTACAGTAATTATTAGCATACAATTATACTTAAAGTACTAAGTAAGTAAAAGTACTTGTTATGCCTTATACCCCATTTCAGAACCATATATATTGACTGCATGATGAGTATCAATGCATTAATGTGTTCATTACAGAGGATAAATGATACATAATTATATGTCAATGTTTATTTATCCGTGTATTTAAATGTTGTATTAACTAATAACCTGAATCTGTAAAGTAACTCATCAAATAAATCTAGTTAAGTAAAAAGTCCTACTTGAGTAAATGAACTTCATTCCATTCTACTACTACATTTACTGTATTGTGTTCATTGTTTTCATTCTGCAACATCATGAGTAAAACACAAAAATCTTGACGAGAGATAGATAAAGAATACTCAATATAAAATGTTTGTTGATGGTAAGACTGTTCTTTAAAAGACCCTATGGAGGGGATACACTCAAACTATGGAGCAGCCAGCCAGAGGTGAGCAGTTGAAAGTGTCATGGCTGTTGGCATGTTTTCCAGGGTCCTGTGCCTGTAGGTTGATACATGCTAACACATTGGAGCAGTGTACCTGTTTCATGCTGAGCTGACCTCCCTCCAGGGCCTGGCGGAAGCCCGTCTTCCCGTGGAAGAAGCCGCGCTGGTTGGTCAGGGTGGAGGCCTGCTGCAGGCTGGGGCACACCGGAACGCCCTCTGACAGGTTGGCATGGAGACCCATGGGGATATTGTGCCTAAAAGAAAAGACATCTATCAGAATGGGATGTTGGCTATGTCAGTTGTGCAGAATCCAATGTGCTCCATGAATGATTTGTTTCATAATGTCCTGAGTTTCCTTTAAACACCATGTTATGTTATTCCACCTTACAGTATTTCATTTGACATTCTGTTTTGATCTTATCTTACTCCTCGTTATTGGAGGAGCCTGGAACTGGATTGTCTTTGGCAAAACTCTGCTGTGACTTTTTTGTAAATGACAATGAAGCCTTTGAATCTTTGAACAACAGAGATGGTCTGTGTCAGAAGCACTCTGGAACACAGTGGTTCTCAAACTTTTTTCACTCATGTACCCCCTTTGAAAAAAAAATGCAGCCAAGTACCCCCTGATCAGCGTAAATAAAATTGTTAGGGAAAAAATGCCTATATAAAGAGGTACAGTACAGCGCTGCACCATCAGTGTCTGATTTATTAAAACAACAACATTGTAACTGAGAAACACTTAAATGCTACATTTCAAATGTTTACAATCCATCACTAAATTCATGGCAAACCAATTTTAACATCATGCAATAACACAGAGACGACATTAGTTGCATTGAACTGATCTTTTTAATAAGTTGTACAATGTAGTGAAACATGGGATTGTGCTTCACTGAAGATCTTTGTCATTCTGACAGGGAGGCACCCTGCAGTTATTACACTTCACGTTTTGAAATATGTGTAACTCTGTTAATATAAAACCCACACTGCTCAAACTTCGTTTATTTTCCTAAAATGTTCATATTTATTTATTTTGGGGCGTGGGGAACGAAGAGAAAAAAATATGAGCATTTTATGAGCATGGGATTTTGACCCCTCATATATACATATGCATAATGCTGCGCTATACTTTGCGGCCACACGCCGTTGCCAAGCAACACTTATTGTTTAGGTGTCCTTTGATAAGCAGGCAGTCAAATAATTAACTAGAACTAGCTAGATCTGATAGATTTGGACATAAACGCGAGTGAAGTCTAACCGGACGCGAGAGAGGGATCAGATATCAGATCAGCTGCTGCTGACGGAGAACACGCAGCTCTGCATGATCACAGCTCCGCCGCTGTGACGGACCAGTGAGCAGAGCAAAATTAAATACACTAAGAGTTAGACCTAACACACTTAGCTAGTTTATCTACTCTGGAACTAGCTAAACTAGTTATACCCGACAGTAAACTGTCGGGTCACTTATTACAGGTTCAGCGAGCTGCACGAGACTGACGGGCTGTCAGGAGAGGGAGAGGAAAAGAGAGCACCACGTTTATTTTTCCCATTTTATTATCCAGAATTATTGTAAACTTTTAAATAAAGTAGTTAATCTACTATTAGTAGTTTGTTTAAATGCATTACTTATGTTTTTTTTCCCATTAACATAAAATAAATCTCACGTACCCCCTGCAGTACTCCAACGTACCCCTAGGGGTCCGCGTACCCCCATTTGAGAACCACTGCTGTAACACACATCTCTTGCTGTTCTTTGAATGACGAGTTTGGACATTACACACACATTGTACTGAGGAGCTAGCAGGTATTTTAAAGACAGAAAATATGGAACATTGCATGAACAACCAAGGATGTCATTAACTAGATTAACAAACGTACTTGTTGCTTTTTTCATTATACTAAGCTACAATTACATTTTGCAAGGCTTCTCAAAGCCAACTTACTTTTATCATTTTAAACTTTGTGCCAGGTGTGTGTGCATTGGGATACAACAAGAAGTGTGTGAGTTCTGAGGTGCTTTCACCAAAGGAAACACGCCGACCTGCTGATGCAACACAATATCTACCAAATGTTCCAGGTTGCACGCATCACTGCTTGTCTAGCTGACATCTCTCAGTGGATGTCTGCTCATCACCTCAAGCTCAACCTTGACAAGACTGAACTGCTCTTCCTTCCGGGAAAAGATTGTCCCACTCTTGACCTAACAATCAACATCGGCACCTCTGTTGTTTCCCCGACTCAGACTGCAAGGAATCTGGGTGTGACCCTAGATAACAACCTGTCCTTCACTGCAAACATCGCTGCTACAACCCGTTGCTGCAGATACACGCTTTACAACATCAGGAAGATACGTCCCCAGCTGACACAGAAAGCGACTCAGGTTCTGGTCCAGGCTCTCGTCATCTCACGCCTAGACTACTGCAACTCCCTCCTGGCTGGTCTACCTGCATGTGCCATCCGACCTCTGCAGCTCATCCAGAATGCAGCGGCTCGTCTGGTCTTCAACCTTCCTAAATTCTCCCACACCACTCCGCTCCTCCGCTGCCTTCACTGGCTTCCGGTAACTGCTAGAATCCACTTCAAGACAATGGTACTTGCGTACCATGCTGCGAATGGATCTGGCCCTTCCTACATCCAGGACATGGTTAAACTGTACACCCCAGCGCGTACACTACGCTCTGCATCAGCCAAACGACTCGTTGCGCCCTCGCTGCGAGGGGGACCCAAGTTCCCATCAGCAAAAACACGTGGGTTTGCTGTCCTGGCTCCAAGATGGTGGAATGAGCTCCCCATTGACATCAGGACGGCAGATAGCTTACACATCTTCCGGCGCAGACTGAAAACTCATCTCTTTCGACTCCACTTCGAGCGATAGAACTATTAACGAAGCACTTTTATACTAATAAAGGACTGGCTTACCTAAAGCCAGTTGAGTAGCACTTGAAATGTTTTTGCTCTATGAAACCTGATGTACTTATATGATTCTGTTTTCTTCAAGGTTGTGTCTTCCTGGTCGAATGTACTTATTGTCAGTCGCTTTGGATAAAAGCGTCAGCTAAATGCAATGTAATGTAATGTAATGTAATGTAATGTAAATCCACAGATAAGGTGTGGGTCAAAACCTCAGGAGATGTTTACCTGATGTTTTTCATGGTGAGTGAAGCCAAGCTACTACAGAACTTTTCGAACAGGGGGAGAGGTAGCGTGCACATATTTTGTTCAAAAGCAATTAAACTAAGTAAAACCCATAATACGACAAACAGTTCACACGTGATCAAGGGGTTGTGGTGAAATATTGCTAAATAAGGGGCAGTTTTTACATAGTGGCCAAATACTGGTACTACCCCTCTTTAGGCGCTTTCACACCGCAGTACCTTTCCCACAAAGGTTCATCAGAACTTAGTTCATGAGAACCCTTTAGTTCTCATGAACTGCTCTGCTCGACAGGAAGGCATGATGGGTCATTTGTAACGTCTTGCTCTCAACATCGGCTTTATGCGCTACTGAGCAACTGTCATAGGAATAAACGAGGCCCGTGGAATGAGTAAATCAATTACCCAGTAGCAACATTTGAATGAACCTTTATTTAAATAAAGTCCTATTTATTAAATGATGTCCTAAAATTGGTAAAATACCCCAAAAGCCGAATCCAGAGTTAGTTTCCCTCTCAATTCATTTGACACAGCTGAGACTGGGTGTGATGTAGCAGCTGGGAGGCGGTTACGGAGAAAGCAAATGTGTGTGCTCTACGAGCCACGTGGATGAGGGAAATCACCGGAAGTTTTACGGAATATCCGGGAAACCATTGTTGTGTTGGATATTGGATCTTCGACAAAAAACTACAAAACTACGTTCTTGCCTGGACATTGGATAATGATTCCCTGCATAAGATTCACTTTTTGGAGGCTCAGTGGCAGTTTTATTTTGAGTACATTTTCTGTTTTGTTTCTTTATTTTTCGCCACTACCATAACATTGATCATATAGACAGAGTTTTTTACTTACATAAGTTGATTGTAACACTGTTTTAGTTACTCAAAAGCATGCCCCGTCGCCGTGACCGTACCTCTGAGCCAGATCTGCCGCCTCCTTGGCAGCACAGCCGTTGACCAGCAGGGACACATTGGAAATGCCTCCAGACTTGAAGCAGTCCACAATCCCCTGGTTTCTTCTGGGACAGTAGCCAAAGTCATCTCCCGTCACCACCAGCATCATTCTGGGCTGTGGCATTATTGCTGATCTCTGTGAGCACACAGGAGACAAATGAACGCTCATCATTAGCCTGCATTAGTAAGGAGACGATAACCCCAAATGCTCCAGATGTTTATATCATTGTAGCTCGCTGCCTTCAGTGTTTGAGTGTTGGTCTGAATGGTTGAATGAGAAACAGCTCAAAGTGTACATTTACATTTCCGTAAATCACTCGCAGCAGTGAGACTCACACCTCCAGCCATCTGCACTTTAATAAGCCATTTTCTGCATTAGATAATATTTCAGCTGTGACTCTTGCTCACACATGAGTGCACGACACAAGCACTTTTTTAAAAAGTCACTCGAGAATGACAACTGGATTATTACAGACAACTTGGAAACAAATAAAAAACATAATGTTTGATTGATTGACTGATTGAGGAAAGTGAAAAAGACAACTTTCTCTTTGTGTTCAAATAGAAACGTAATTGAACATTAGCTTCCATCAACCTTAGCAAACACACACATATATATATATATATATATATATATATATAAATGGTACCACAACTTGGCAACTTATTAGCAATAGCTGTGACTTTGAATTCAAATGCAAAAATATTATTTACATAATAATACATTATTATTTGTAACAATTTTTGATCGTCATAATAAGATTACGTAGGTACACACTGATGACATGTCTTTTAAATGTTCCTAGAACTACTAAGTATCTACGGAGCCCACCTGGTGACATTGGTGAGAAAAATATTAATACGTGGCTACGAGTTAATAATGCGTGGGCACGAGTTAATAATGTGTGGGAACGAGTTAATAATGCATGGGCACGAGTTAATAATACGTGGCCACGAGTTAATAATGCGTGGCCACGAGTTAATAATGTGTGGGAACGAGTTAATAATGCGTGGGCACGAGTTAATAATACGTGGCCACGAGTTAATAATGCGTGGCCACGAGTTAATAATGCGTGGCCACGAGTTAATAATGCGTGGCCATGAGTTAATAATGCGTGGGCACGAGTTAATAATGCGTGGCCACGAGTTAATAATGCGTGGGCACGAGTTAATAATACGTGGGCACGAGTTAATAATACGTGGCCACGAGTTAATAATGCGTGGGCACGAGTTAATAATGCGTGGCCACGAGTTAATAATGCGTGGGCACGAGTTAATAATGCGTGGCCAGTGGCCACGAGTTAATAATGTGTGGCCACGAGTTAATAATGCATGGCCACGAGTTAATAATGCGTGGGCACGAGTTAATAATACGTGGCCACGAGTTAATAATGCGTGGCCATGAGTTAATAATGCGTGGGCACGAGTTAATAATACGTGGCCACGAGTTAATAATGCGTGGCCACGAGTTAATAATGCATGGGCACGAGTTAATAATACGTGGCCACGAGTTAATAATGCGTGGCCATGAGTTAATAATGCGTGGGCACGAGTTAATAATACGTGGCCACGAGTTAATAATGCGTGGCCACGAGTTAATAATGCGTGGCCACGAGTTAATAATGTGTGGGAACGAGTTAATAATGCGTGGGCACGAGTTAATAATACGTGGCCACGAGTTAATAATGCGTGGCCATGAGTTAATAATGCGTGGCCACGAGTTAATAATGCGTGGCCATGAGTTAATAATGCGTGGGCACGAGTTAATAATGCGTGGCCACGAGTTAATAATGCGTGGGCACGAGTTAATAATACGTGGGCACGAGTTAATAATACGTGGCCACGAGTTAATAATGCGTGGGCACGAGTTAATAATGCGTGGGCACGAGTTAATAATGCGTGGCCACGAGTTAATAATGCGTGGGCACGAGTTAATAATGCGTGGCCAGTGGCCACGAGTTAATAATGTGTGGCCACGAGTTAATAATGCGTGGGCACGAGTTAATAATGCGTGGCCACAAATTAGTTATTATGTTCCCACGCATTAGTAATTCGTGGGAACACAATAATTATTACGCAATAACTAAATCCAGATAGTCTATAGAAACTGATGACTGAGTGACAACCATAGACTGTATATATAAAGGTGACAACACTAGCTAATCTCTGTACCGTAGGCTACGGCTATTATCGCGAAGCATGGATCATTTTGATTTGATTTCATTTTATTTTCATTTGGGTATGAATTATAATGATATTCTGCAATCCCTTGCAGTTAAGCACAGTGTCATCCTTAGCAAACGGCACTTGATTCGGCTGCTGAAAATGCACGGTTTGAAACGTAGTTGAGTAAAGTTGGAACGATATTGGCAGATTCTGATTTCACGGATCAATAACTCATGAACAAAACGTTGTTCAGACACAAATGACGTCTCCTAAGTACCGTGGTAAGGTTGACAACGAACTACAATCACATGTTGATCAAAAAAAGCCAATATGCGCCGTCCTCGCTCCTCGCTGGACACATTACATTGGTCTCTATCTGCAGCCGGAGAAGAAACGAGTGCTCAGGGACCGTCTGCAAAGTGCAACTCCGAAAAAAGAGAATATAATAATATTCAATCACTTCACTATTCTACAGTATATTACTACCAAACTCATTACACACATCAATAGTCTCATGTTGCTCATACTACAGCAGAGAGTTTGGAAGAATATGGTTTGGAATAATTTTGGTGAATATTTATAGTGTATAATAGTAACGTTATTGAAGATGATGCCATATTTATTGAAGATTTTACACTATAAATATTCAGCAAAATTATTCAAAAGCACATTCTTCCAAACTCTCTGCAGTATGTATGAGCAACACATGAGACTATTGATGTGTGTGGTGAGTTTGGTAGAAATATACTGTATACTGTCTCCAGTTTGGAGGACAGCACGTATTGGCTTTTTTTGATCAACATGTGATTGTAGTTCGTTGTCAACCTTACCACGGTACTTAGGAGACGTCATTTGTGTCTGAATAACGTTTTGTTCATGAGTTATTGATCCGGGAAATCTGAATCTGCCAATATCGTTCCAACTTTACTCGACTTGTTGTCACTCAGTCATCAGTTTCTATAGACTATCTGGATTTAGTTATTGCGTAATCATTATTGTGTTCCCACAAATTACTAATGCGTGGGAACATAATAACTAATTTGTGGCCATGCATTATTAACTCGTGGCCACGCATTATTAATACGTGGCCACGTATTCATATTTTTCTCACCAATGTCACCAGGGGGGCTCCGTAAGTATCATATAAAATAAAAAAACATTAAAAAAGCTTGCACCAAGATATTAACTAACAAAAAAAGCTTGCTCATTCCTCTTTATCATTCCTCTGGAGATTCTGGTAAAAGAACACATATCCCAGTACAAGTGTAGGGGGAAGAAAGCCCAGTAGCAGGTAAACCAATGTAATAACACAGCAATACATGGGTTAATCCAGAGCGGGAGGACATTTAGACCTTAACATTTGAACAATTTGAACCCTTTCTTTCTAATTTTTCAGTTTTGTATTTGAGAAAATCAGGTAGTAAACATCATAAAACCTGATTTGGCCCGCTCAGACCTCAATGCTTACATATTTAATTTGATGTTTTATTTGTTACTTTTTGACAGTGCTTAATAGTGGGCTAGAACTATGAAATCAATAGAAAGCAATTTTAAAAATGCTATCAACCTCTTGATCTAACTATAATTGAATCACAGTTGTGTTCATTTTGAGTTAATTGATAAGAAAAAGTGTTAATTATTGCAATATTACCATGTTTAGGCTCCATGGTGTCAATCACAAAGAGGGATTTCATATTCTGTGAAAATACAGCAATACATTTAAAACATACTATGCTTAATTATATATAAAGATTTCAATGTATTAAAGATAATAAGTTGTACTGTAGGCAATTCAATTCTGTAACTATAATTACTTCAATTAAAGAAACAGGGTTGTAAATCTGACTCATATTAGCTTTTACCTCAGGAATTAATGCTAAACTGCGGAATGTAATGCTACGTTCAAGGCAAGGACAGACTTATATTTAACTATAGAAAGAGAACTTTGAAATGAAGCTGTCTTATGCTGATAATATGGGTAACAGGGTTTGGTTGGTTAGGGTGCCACACTCACAAGAAAAGTATAACAAATAAAAGAGAGGACAGTGACAGTGTACAACATAATGCTCTAATTGACTGTCCATTAACTCTGGTTATCTCCTTTGTGGTGCGGTGTAGTATCTGTAGATACTAGTTGATTACACACTACAATGGGGACCAAATAGATATTTGAATAAAACACCACAGTACCCCAGAAGTGAACCTACTCCATTCTATTCATTCGCCGGCTCATAAGGTGACATTGAAAAGCACAGAGGATTTATGAAGGGAGCAGCTGTAACACCGGAGGCACGTTACCTCTTGTGGCTTCCACTAACAGAACATTATCCTATTTTATGAACTCAAAATCTTAATCTTACCCATTGTACTTCACACGTTCGTCCATACGTGTCCGAAGCCACCTAAACACGGTGGAAATAAAGTGCACTTCCGACTAGCACACAGCACCGGTGTAGTGTGTAAGCAGAGCACGGCGCCCTCTGTTGCACAAACCGAACATGGCGTCCCACCCAGCCGCCCAACACAACTTTCAAAATAAGACTTCTAAATATCAAATGAACAAAACCGACAAAACTGGATACTAAGGCATTCTTTAATTAATCTCTTATGTATTGTGCTAGTGGAGCCTCGCATCGGCCAAACCACTCCTGTGTGTGGGATTGCCCACAATATTGAGTATGTAAGTCGCTTTGGATAAAAGCGTCTAACAAGTAACATGTAATGTAATGTGTGTTGATTGTTATGTGTAACTGCCCAAAGACTGCAGTCGGAAATGAGCTTTTAGCTATAATGTGGCATAAAGCATATCTTCTCTTTGAGATTAATGTATTTTTATGCATGGTCCTTGTTCAATAAAGAGCTCATATTTACAATACTAATAATAAATAATAATGTTGCCCTTAGTTAACCTTCTTAACACATATAGGTCTACTACGTGTAACATGTAAACAATGTAACACACCAATTTATAATAAATATTGTTGTACATCTGATATAACTTCATGGCCTTTATTTTATTATCCTCTTTTTCAACAGAAATGTTGAAGTGTAAATACGTTTTACTAAGAACAAGTGAGTTATTTCTAGTTTTTAAGTGTAAAGTTAGCCACTGCCGGTTCACTGGAAAGTCTCCGGCAGATAAGCGATATCATAAAGCGGTCAGAAAACTAGTTCAACACCGTGTCTTTCATCAGGACTTGATTTATACATTTATTTAAAATGTAAAATGTTTTTATGTATGTATATTCTCAGATGTGGGAGAAGGACAAGTACTCAGGTGTGGTACTTCAGCAAAAGTACCAGGGTTTCAAAAATACTCTAAGTAAAAGTCAGAAATGTTAAGTAAAAGTAGAAAAGTATCAGAATCAAAATAAACGTATAGCGACAGTAAAAGTAGTCATTGTGCAGATTGGTCCATTTCAGAATAATATATATGATATGTTTTATAATGATTGATCATGAAAGTGTTCTCAAAGCTGGTAAAGGTGCAGCTAGTTTGAATGACTTTGTATACTGCAGGGTAGCTGGTGGATTTACTCCAGGTGGAACTAAAGTCTGATTCAACACTTGATTATATTTCACATCATTCATCCACATCTGTGAAGTAATTGAAGATATTAAATACATTTAGTGGAATAAAAGTACACGTGTTACCTCTGAATTGTAGTGGAGTAGAAGTACCAAGTACTCAAGTGAAGTACAATTGTACTTAAGTAAATGTAGCCTACTTATTTACCAACCCCCTGTATATTTTGTATATATTTCATTTACCCACACCTCACCCGAACAGTTTTCCTGAACATAACTTCGGCGGTGAACAGCCTCTGCACACACAGCTGTTATCACAAACTGTGACTGTACAGACAGACCGGTTCTCTCAGGTGTTCTCATGTCATCATGACGCCTGGAAGATTATTTACACAGGCTCTATGACCTGGAGCCACAACTCACAGGCTTTATCTGATATCCTACACCACTGAAGGTCATATCTGGTGACACAGCGTTTTCAATGCACAGCATAAAAGGAACATTTAGGGAACAGAAAAGCTTAAAATACAAAAGTAGCTAAATGGGAAAATATCTTCAGAATCCAGTATTTACCTGAAGCACCTAATCAGAATTTAAAAGAAGAATTGGGAAGGAATGAAACTCTCTTTAATGGTCTCACATGCAGAGCACACAGCACACACAGTGACAGGTGTTCTCTGCTTTTAACCCATCCTAGTACCAGGAGTCTAGTACTAGGAGCAGTGGGCAACTATTGTACCGCGCCCGGGGAGCAATGGGAGTGGGGGGGGAAGGGGGATGTCTGGTGCCTTGCTCAAGGGCACCACGGCAGGGCAGGATGTGAACTGGGACCTCTCCAAGTAGCAGTCCACACTCCATATTTAGGTCTGGTCGGGGACTTGAACCGGCAACCGTACGGCTCACAGTCCAAGCCCCTACTGACTGAGCCCCTGCCGGAATATTCCACACCAGATAGTAGTTGTCCCTTAAACCATCATTTTAACACTTACTCATGAAGGAATAAACAATATATATCTTGACATGGCTCCTTTACAAGACAGTTGATAAAGCTCGGCCCAAATTAAAGGACGTGGCATTTTAGTTTCCTTAATTTCCAATAATGCATATTGCATAATCTAAATAGAGTAACTACGTTCTCAAATTGCAATGTTCTTTAAATAAAATGTGGATATTTTTAAACAATTAAATCAGGCTATATCTGATGAAAGTGAAAAGACTTGGAGTAACTGTTAACCCCAACTTCTAATGACTTTTACCTAACGAGTGTTGTGTAATAATGTCAGTAGGCCTATCACAAGGAAATTGTGACAATGTTGTTTACCATTAGTCATTTATTATCAAAAATATGACACGAATGCAGCAGTATACAAGTGCTATGACTTGAAGCCAGTACGCTCTGTTACATATCATGTTATGGCTTCCGACTTGTGTCAGTAAGCCTGTTCGATACCATTTTTTAATAGATAACCATCCACTGCTGTCCGACCATTTGCCAAGCCACTGAAGAAAATATCATAAGTCTTCATGTGGGCAAAGTCTGTGAAAATAAATGTAGTTTACCATTTATGTTTAATTGTCCAAATAACTTTTGTTGACAGAGTCCAGCTTCTAGTTATTGTCCTTCACCCACTGCTCAGACCACTGGATGATCTGCTCCAGGTTGCGGTCCATGTCCTCAGGAGTGTTGCTGGTGAGCTGGTGGACGATGTCCTCGCTGTAGGCCTCCATGGCCTCCTCGTAGATAGTCTGGAAGATCTCGCACTGCACGTTGTCCTGCAGCTTCTTCCCCGCGTACCCCCTGTCATCAAACAGAGTCCACGTCAGACAGAGTGCAACAACCTTCTAATGAGTGGAGCAGGGTAGTGCAGTAAAGCATGTATATGGTTTTCTTCATCAGCATTACTTGCATATTGGTCTCGCAACATAACCTGCACTATTTGGTTCTACTCTGTTTCTTCTTGCACTATTTTTAAATTAGTTTGATCGTTTTATGTCTTATACATTATGTTGCATTGTTGGAGGGGCTTGGGACTTAAGGTTCATTGGCATAACTACACTGTAGCTACTCTGCATATGACAATAAAGCCTTTGAATCTTTGAATTCAATCCATAACTAAACATATCTAAGGGGTTACCCAATAGAGTTGAGTTGCTGAGTGTAATCATTTCTTTGTTCAGTACAACTGCCCGTTATACTGTTCATATGACAATAGACAATATCTTGAATCTTGAGTGGTAGGCAGGGATTAGTCAAGCCATCAATGTTCTTCAGTGCGGTTACACAGAAGTGCTGCAAATATTTAGTTAAATAAAAAAATTAAAATCTACAACTGTTTTGATAATCAAGAAAAGTAATTTTGCATGCAAACATGTCAGAAGGTAGAGTTTTGTACCATTTGTAGCCATGGCAAATGGGGGTAAAATTCAGACCTGCCTGTTGGGAGTGTTGTCAGCCATTACAGAACATGACATTTTGAGCCATAGTCTATAGTGCCCCAGCAGTGGCATACCACTCAGATTCTGCATGCCACTATGTGCGAGTGTTTTTAATCTTTGCACATTCTAGGCCCTAGTTGGATGCGGGAAAGGGCAAGGCAAGTTTATTTATATAGCACCTTTCAACACAAGGCAATTCAAAGTGCTTTACAAAAAACGAAAGACATTAAGAAAATGGCATTTAAAATCAGTCATTAAAAAGAAAAGATAATAAAGTAAACCTTAAAAGAAAAAATACATGGATAAAAGTTACAGTGCAGTTTAAGATGTGAATAGTTCAATTAAAAGCAGCGACAAAAAGAAAAGTCTTTAGTCTGAATTTAAAAGTAGTCAGAGTTGCAGCTGACTTGCAGTTTTCTGGGAGTTTGTTCCAGATATTTGGAGCATAATAACTGAACGCTGCTTCTCCATGTTTAGTTCTGACTCTGGGGACAGAAAGCTGACCAGTCCCTGAAGACCTGAGAGATCTGGATGGTTCATCATTTAGCAGGAGGTCAGAAATGTATTTTGGGCCTAAACCATTCAAAGCTTTATAAACCAGCAGCAGTATTTTGAAATCTATTCTTTGACACACAGGAAGCCAGTGTAAAGACTTCAGAACAGGAGTGATGTGATCCACTTTCTTAGTGTTAGTGAGGACTCGAGCAGCAGCGTTCTGAATCAGCTGCAGCTTTCTAATAGATCTTTTAGTGAGACCTGTAGTCCAGTCTACTGAAGATAAAAGCATGGACAAGTTTTTCCAAATCCTGCTGTGACATTAGTCTTTTAATCCTAGATATATTCTTTAGGTGATAGTAGGCTGATTTAGTAACTGTTTTAATGTGACTGTTGAAACTCAGGTCAGAGTCCATGACTACACCTAGATTTCTGGCTTTATCTGTTGTTTTGAACATTGCAGACTGAAGCTCAGCGCTAACTTTTAAACGTTCTGCCTTGGCTCCAAAAACCATTACCTCAGTTTTATCTTTGTTTAATTGGAGAAAGTTCTGACACATCCAGTCATTGATTTGTTCAATGCACTTACTCAGTGTTAGAATTGGAGAATAGTCTCCTGGTGAAATTGTTATGTACATTTTTGTGTCATCCGCATAGCTATGGTAACTTATTTTGTTGTTTTTCATTATCTGAGCCAGTGGTAGCATGTAGACGTTAAAGAGAAGAGGCCCCAAGATGGGGCCTTGAGGTACCCCACATGTCATATTTGTCAACTCAGATGTGTATTTACCTATAGAAACAAAGTTTTTTCTGTCCTTTAAGTAGGATTCAAACCAATTTAGGACTGTTTCCGAAAGTCCCACCCAGTTCTCCAGTCGGTCTAGTAATATGCTGTGGTCAACAGTGTCAAACGCAGCACTGAGATCTAATAATACTAACACTGAAGTTCTGCCACTGTCTGTGTTTAAGTGGATGTCATTGAAGACCTTTACAAGAGCAGTCTCAGTACTGTGGTTTAGACGAAAGCCTGACTGGAACACATCGAAACAGCTATTTAAATGCAAGAAATTACTCAACTGTTGAAAAACAACTTTTTCAATGATTTTACCTAGAAATGGGAGGTTTGATATGGGCCTGTAATTTTTCATTACTGAAGCATCTAGATCATTCTTTTTTAAGAGCGGTTTAATGACTGCAGTTTTCAGGGCCTGTGGAAAAAATACCTGAGTGAAGAGATTTGTTTACTATATGAAGTAGATCTGAGGCCATGCAACGAAAAACATCTTTGAAAAATCCTGTTGGAATAATGTCAAGGCAGCAGGAGGAGGATTTCAGAAGTTGAATAATGTCCTCTAGGTTTTTATCATTAATCTGATGGAATTGTGTCATGGTGTTTGAATTGATATTAGGTGGACATAAGGACAACATATTTGCTGTACCTGATGCAGAGGCACTGACTGCTTGTCTGATTTTCTGAATTTTGTCAGTGAAGAAGGAGGCAAAATCATTGCACGCCCTGGTGGATAGAAATTCAGAGGCTACTGACACTGGGGGGTTAGTTAGTCTGTCGGTAGCAAACAAAGCACGTGCATTGTTTTTGGTAATGATGTCAGAGAAGAAAGACTGTCGTGCATTTTTCAATTCCAAATTATAAAGGCCAAGTCTCTCTTTATAGATTTCAAAGTGAACCTGGAGATTTGTTTTTCGTCACCTACGTTCAGCTTTTCGACACTCTTTTTTCTGCTCTCACGGTCATGGCCTTTCTCCATGGAGATATTTTCTTCCCAGTCACTTCCTTTACCTTAGTTGGAGCAATGGCATCTATAACATTTTGAATTAAAATGATCTACTAGCTCATTTACTGAGATGTTAGCAGGGGCAAGTGTGGAAGAAAAATTCTGAGTAAACATTTCCCTAGTATTTTCAGTTAAATATCGCTTTGTGGTTACCTCTTTTTGAACATTTTTGTGAACAGAAATAGGGCTCTCAAAGAAAACACAGGAATGATCAGAGAGTGCAACATCAGTCACCACAACCTTAGAGATATTCAGACCCTTTGAGATAATTAAGTCCAGAGTGTGCCCCTTATTGTGCGTGGGCTCCGTCACATGCTGAGTCAGTCCATAGTTATCAAGAACACAAAACAGTTCTTTAGCCCCTCTGTCCTGGGGGTTGTCAACATGGATGTTAAAATCACCAACAATGACTAGACGGTCAAAGTCAATACACACTATAGACAGCAGTTCAGTAAAGTCATCAAAAAAGCTTGCACAGTATTTGGGTGGTCTATAGATATTTAGGAACAGAGCTCGAGAGGAGCATTTCAGCTGAAGGGCCACATATTCAAAAGAAGCAAAGTTCCCATAAGATGTCTTCCTGCATTGAAGGGAATCATTGAACAAAATAGCAACTCCACCCCCTTTATTATGCATTCTTTCCTGACTCATAAAACTAAAGTTGGGAGGGGTTGATTCGATAAGAACAGCTGCACTGTTATTTTGTTCAATCCAAGTTTCCGTTAAAAACATAAAATCGAGATTGTGCTCAGTGATAAAATCATTGATTAAAAATGTTTTTCCTGCCAGAGACGTGACATTTAGTAAAGCTAGTTTAAGTTTGTTAGATACACCATCAGTAAGATTTTTTGTGACAAGCTGAGGCTGACATGGAATCACTGCTAAATTTGATAAACTCACACAAACGTTTGAGCACTTCCTGTTTCTAAGCTGATTCATCGCTCTTAATCTATTACCCATCAACACAGATATCGGCAAAGCTACTGGCAGGCAGGGCCCCGGCATGTCCTGGAAAGAGTTGAGAGTGCCATACGCCCTTGAGCCTGGACCCAGCACATATCAGTAAGAGTTTGTTGCGTTGTGTACACACTAGGGCTGAACGATTAATCGATTTTAAATCGAAATCGCGATTTGTAATGAAGCGATTATCAAATCTCAAAGCCCGCGATTTTTTTTTCCTTTTTTTTTTTTTCCGTCTTGTGTGTCAGTCATCCACACCAATCAGAAGTGCTGTGCTCCACATGTACCAGCCATTGTTAATCAATCAGAAGTGGCCCATGATAGAAGGTGATAGACAGATTGATCCAATCACCTGTCAAGTATTTTTGAAAGTGCCTGCCCTTTCCAAATGGCTTCCAATGGAGCTCTCCTAGATGGTTTGTAATGCTCCATCACATGTTTTACATCTATTACAGGGTGAATCTTAAACTGAAGCTTGACTTTAAAGCAACCTAACGGAAGTTTCATGTAAGTTTAGTTCTTTCACTCGTAGCTCGGGCTGCGGCGGTGCTAGAGACGGAGTTATGGCCGCATTTTACAATAAACTTCCGTTGGGTCGCTTAAAAATAAATATCGCAATTCGAATCGCAATCGCAATATTTGTCAGAAAAATCGCAATTAGATTTTTTCCCCAAAATCGTGCAGCCCTAGTACACACACATCCTTATCAGGCTTCGGAGACTGCAGATGCTTTCTTGAAGGGAGGGGAGGCGGTTGATGTAGGCACGGTGATGGAGACGGGGGAGATGGTGCGGGGGTAAAGGACATGCTGCCAGGGGGGGGGAGGTGGTTGACGTAGGCACGGTGATGGAGACGGGGGAGATGGTGCGTGTCTCTGTGGTGATTTTGGTGGGCGTCGTTGAGGAGCGGGGGTAAAGGACATGCTGCCAACCCTGCGTATCGCCTTAGTTTGGTCTTTGAACTCCAGGAAGGAATCGGTGCCAACCCTCTGTATCTCCTTCGTGTGTTCAGCGATCTCCAGGAGGGTGGGCGAGGGTGAAAGGGTGAACGGAGAGTAGAGAGAGCTGTGGGGTGAAGGAAGAGTATCCTCAGAGGTGATAGGGGGGGTGAAGGGCGGTGGAGACTCCTCCATTTGTCTCCTATAATGAAGACATTCCTCAGGCGGGTGCAGGGATAGATTTTCAAGGTTTTCTGAGCGATGTGTTGTGTCTTTCTCTTGTTTTGATTCCTCTTGTTGCTTGTCCTTGGCAGAGGGAACAGATTGATGATGTAGGCAGTTGAATACGTTAGAGATAAACAATTTCACTCCTGACTTGTTCAGACAAACTCCATTTGCCTTAAAAAGATGTCTGCGGTCCCAGAAAAAGTTAAAGTTGTCAATAAAATGGACAGAATGGTCAGTACAGACAGTTGAAAGCCAGGTGTTCAGTGCAAACAATCTGCTGAATCTCTCCACTCCTCTTCTGACTGGCGGTAGAGGGCCACTGATGAACACCTCTGCATTTAGAGAGCTGACCGTTTCCAACAGACATTTAAAGTATTTTTTCAGCACTTCTGACTGTCGTTTCACAACATCATTTGTTCCGGGAAAGACATGCATTAAACAGGTTCACTGTATATCAGAAGTGTACGTTACCTGCTCTCTAGCCGCGTGTACAGCTGTGTGTTGTCTGTGCGGAGGACAAAGACGATGTGGAACCAGCGCTCAGGGAACAGGTCACAGCCATGATAGTCAATGATCATCCCACCGTCTACCATCTGGTCATCCAGCTCATCCACCACCTGCAAAAGGACAATAAGGCCACTTTAACATACCCTTAACCTAATTCAATCTGTAAAAATAATTTGCATGGACGCAAGGGTTGTTTTACAGAAATTAAACTCCGCTTGCAAGGCCTTAAGCCTGAGGTTTGTCTTCATACAATACAGAATGGAGTGGCAGAAGGAGGAAACAGCAACACCTCCTCCTTCACTTTTCTACAAGATGTTAGTGCACCAAGTTGTGTTTTGAGGAGGGGCTCCAACACCCCGCCAGCACCGTGCTGGTTGGCTGAGGTTTCCACTCCATTTCAAATTACCACACAAAAGAGTTTGTGCAGAATTTCACCTACAGCTATTCAAAGAGAATAATATGACATATATTGGTGATTGCAATTATACATATTAGAAAAATATTACATGCATGTAATGTAGGCTACATAAATACATTTCTGTCACAAAAGTGTTTTTTTATGTATGTTGTGTAGTAGTCTGATTCATTTTCAATCAAACTGATGAGGTTTTATTTGCTGGTTGATGGCAAGTTCGGTAGCGTTCTGCAACTTCGGAAGCCTATGGTTTAAATATGTCATGTGCAATAAAGTGAGGCAGAAAACACCAATACGTGCAGCAGGGCGGGGCAGACTGCACTTCCAAGTCATATCCATGTGCATATAGATCAGCATATCATCTCCCGGTCAAGAGCTTGCATGAACTCACCCTGTCCTCATCCAAAATTGGGCACTGGTACTCTTCGTCATAGCCATCATAAAGTTCTCCTGTGGAGACAGATTCAGGATTATCTCTGATATTTATCCGCTTAGAATTGCATTAGAAGTCTAGAAGTGACCCATTGAGAGAAGATTCAAACCAGCACAAATGCCCCTTTCACACCAATGCAGTTCCAGTTCTAGCTCCGTAATAGAGCTTTTCTGGTTCGGAACCGGTTCTTCTTTTCAGCCCCCGTTTTGTTCACACCACCCAGAGCCCGACTGGTGCTGCTGCGTCATGACGTTACCGTTTACGGCGCTCACTACAACAACAATGGGGGACTAGTGCGTCGGGTCGATGATCGTGTTGCTTTTAATCATACGAAGCCAGATTAAATTAAATAACGACTTCTCCAACCTTATACTTTTCTCCAGAGTGCCGTGGTTCATCGTTTATTAATGTGTTTCAGCGGCATTTACCAACCGCTGCAGTGCTGCTCTTCCACTGGAGTTTATTCTCCCGTTAGCTTAACGCAGCGGCCGCTGTAAAGTATTCACTGTCTGACTGTCACACAAGCAGCTCATACATATCCCCAGTTCCCCATAAGTGAATGTGTGTCAGTCTGAATTGACGCCGTTTGGCATCACAACGCTGTTATGAAAGTTTCTCTGGTATACAATTGGTGATGTTAGCATAGCAACCAAAGCTAAACTGACTATCTTGACTACTTGTTGCTATCCTATTGTGTAGAGATGTCCCGATCCGATCACGTGATCGGGGATCGGAACCGATCATGTGATTTTCAAAAGATCGGAATTGGGAGAAAAAAAATCGGGGATCGGGAATTTTCTTCTTTTTTTTAAAAAATCATTTGTAAAAAAAATCATTTTATTTAATGTTACAAACCAAAAATGACCATGTTCACGTCTTAAAGTCATCCTGAGGACTTAGTTTTGGTTTAAAATGACACAACATCATGTATGTGTTGCTTCTTTTGGGCTTGTTTTCAGACCTGGTTGCTTATTCCTCTCAAATCTGGCAACAGAGTGGGCGCAGTGTCTAATAGTAGCAGTAAGCTAACGAGAGGCTACGTTCAGCTGGTGACTCGGGAGTCAGGACAGAGAAAAGGTCAGGAGTTTGGAAGTATTATAAAATTGAAAGTGAAGGCAGTGTCACAGCCAGATGCAATGTTTGCAAGAAGGAGGTTCCGCTTGGTGGAAAGAACAGAGCTACGTTCAACACGACCAATCTAATACGCCACCTGAGAAACAAACACCAACAACAACACGACGAGTACACAGCGGCCACTCAGGTAACGGCACTGAAACAACCGACACTTTTAAAAGGAAAGAGAAACTGCCCAAGAACAGTGAAAAGGCAAAAAAAACAACAGCCAAGATAGCTGAATTCATCGCGTTGGATGACCGGCCGTTATCCGTTACCTTTTTTTTCTCTTAATTCATTGCATAAAGATCGGATCGGGAAAAATCGGTATCGGCAGATTGTCAAAATCAAATTATCGGAATCGGATCGGGAGCAAAAAAAGGTGATCGGGACATCACTACTATTGTGGCATAAGCCGTTTTCTACAGGCACTACTGCTTGTTACTACTTTTATTTGCCGTACTCGCCTTTAACTGTTAGCTCAGGTTAATCTCGCCCCCCTCCGACGTAAGCGTGACGTATGTGGTTTTTACTTCTAGACCGACAATTTTTTGGTGCTTGAAACAAACCGGATTCCGGAGCTTAGAGACGGCTCCGCTGCGGTGTGAACAGGAAAAACCGGTGCTTTTCAGGCTCTAGCTCCGAACCGGCCCTGGAACCGCGTTTGTGTGAAAGGGGCACAAGAGAATGGTCAATAAGGGTTTTCCTTTGTGATTAAACAGTTAGATGATGGATGCTCCATCCTGTGGGTGCTTGTCCCAATCTTTTTTCTTGTTTGGTACAAAACAGGGAGACAGAAATGCCATTCCCCACCGTACTAAAGTAACAAATATATGCATATATGTATACAGTACACACAAAAACTGAAAAATGTATGAAAATATGAAAATGAATGAATATATATGACAAAAGTGCAAATATATACAAGTAGTGGAATATTTGTTAGAACAGCCAGGTAACCTTTGTACCTTCCTGTGCCAGGTCTCCTATGTTGACGTAGGACAGCCCTGTCCGCTGGGCCAGCTCCTTTCCTAAAGTGGTCTTTCCAACACCAGGGGTTCCTGTAACATTCAGGACATGGATATTTAGGCTGCAGCCACACGAGGACAAAAACGGTCGTTTGCGTTACTGTTTAGTGTCATATAGACCATTCGGCCACACGAGGACGACCGCATACGGCACTAAACGACTGAGGAAACGATAACGGGTCCCAAGGTGGATAGAACGGCATACGCAACGCTCTGGGGGGTCAAACAGCTGTGTGCGCCCTATACGATCATTTTCAACAACAACAACAATGGCGGATCGCAGAGTTGCTATCGTGCTCCGGACGCTACTGACCATGCTACAGTTCTTTGTGCAACATCTACAGCAGACTTACACATCCGGGGGGGATCTTACTCGTTATTCATTTGTTTTAAAGCTCATTAAATAACAAAGAGGACCTTTGACCGGCACTTTTATAATTTTGTCGGAAGATTTAAACTTTAATACACGTTGACTGGCGAAAAACTCTGCCCGGTTCCCTCGGCCCCCACCGCGGAGAATAAACAGAAGGGCAACCATGACAACCATGCTTCTTCGCTGCTTTTGTGGAGGAAGTTACAGCGCCACGTACAGGCTCCTGCATATGTACTGCAGCTTCTCCAGCGGTTGGAGCTAAACGGAGCTGTCTCGTGTGGGCAGACACTATCCGGATAACTATTGCGTGTGGACGGAAGCTTGTTTGTGATTGCGTTTGCGTTAATCCTATGCGTTTAGACGTTTTTGTCCTCGTGTGGCTGCAGCCTTAGTGTTGCCCTACTTTCAAAAGGTAAAGCCATGTCAGCTGGTGAGATATGATCAGGCGGTTTAGCCATACCGATGGATCTGACCCGTCTGGTACAGTGGTGTAGAGTAACTAAGTACATTTACTGGTGTAGAGTAACTAAGTACATTTGAGAGACTTAAACATTACTTGAATATTTCTATTTTTGCTACTTTATAATCTACCCCACAACAATTCAGAGGTAAATGGTGTACTTTTACCCCACTGTATTTAATACCTTTAGTGACTTCACAGATGTGGATGACTCATGTGAAATCTAACCAAGTGTTGAATCAGACTTTAGTTCCACCTGGAGTAAATCCACCAGCTACCCTGCAGTATACAAAGTCATTCAAACTAGCTGCACCTTCACCAGCTTTGAGAACACTTTCATGATCAATCATTATAAAACATATCATATATATTATTCTGGAATGGACCAACCTGCACAATCACTACTTTAACTATATTTTGATGCCAATACTTTTGTACTTTTACCTGAGTAACTCTTTTTTTTTTACTTAAGTACAAGATCTGAGTACTTCTTCCACCTCTGCTCTGGTATCTAATAATTCATTTATAGTTAGAAATGTGGGTTGAGTATTAGTTTGATAATGATCACCAGGTATTGACAAGATGAGTCAAACGTGCCAACATTAAAAATGGAATTCTTGTTCAAATTGACAAACTATATAAATACAAAATTAAAATGTAATCCTGATGATAAGTGCCAATCTGACGTGACTGCATGTAGCTAAAAGCAGAGGTGGAAGAGGTACTCAGATCTTGTACTTCAGTCAAAGTAACAGAGTGTAGGAATACTCTGTTACAAGTAAAAGTCCTACATTCAAAAATGAAAGTACTCACTATGCAGATTGGCCCATTTCAGAATAATATACATTGTATGTTTTCATTATAATTATTGATGTGTTCATCAAAGCTGGTAAAAGGTAGAACTCATTTTTAATGACTTTATTTACTGCTGGGTAGCATGTGCATTTACTCCAGGTGTAACTTAAGTCTTAATTTAGTGTTTATTATATTGTTTATCATAAATTCAAATCTGCAAAGTAACTAAAGGTATTAAATAAACGTAGTGGAGTAAAAGTACAATGTTTACCTCTGAATCCAGTGTAGTACCTCAGAATTGCACTAAGTACAGTATTAGAGTAAGTGTACTTAGTTACTTCCCACCACTGGCGGACAGACATGCAGCAGTAGTTGTTGTTGATCACCTGTTAGCAGAATGTTAGGTCGCTTCCTCATCTTCATAGCTTATTAGCAGATAACACGTGTCGTAATGACGGCACCTGCAAAACACAACAGTATTATAATTTCTTCATGCCATTCCAGACACTCTCTTTAGAATTTAAGATACATGTTAAGAAACGAACCTGAAATAGATAAAGGTGTCGAATTGGCGTTAGTTAGCTAGCTTGATGTTAGCAAACACGCCAGACCTCCACAAACACTGCAGTGAACTGGTTGCTTTACGTCAGTTTTACGTCAATAAATAGACAGTTTGCGGCATGACGTACCCCCCGGAGTTTAAATCGTTTAAATAGATACACTTCAGTTTGCCTCAGCAACTCTTTAGTAATATTACGGTACTCCCTCTTGGATTTACACATTAACTTTAGTTCTCATTTCACCCTAAAAAGGTAAAGACGGGTGTGCTTCACATGGTCAAACAAGGTGAGTTCAGACACATATTATATTGGCTGTATACAAACTAACAATTTAGTTAGCTTACATATTCAACCTTCTGCGGTCCACATGTGGATGTAGTTACACCCCCAGACTTTTAAATATACTACAATGTAGTCGTAGCTAATACACACATTATATGCTGAGGTGTGGGGATATGTTAATATATGTGTCAGCACAATAACAACGATAAGAAGTTAAGGTAATACAGAACCTTAAACCTCCGCCCACCTTTTTATTATGCTGAATACTACAAATATAAGTGTTTATTGTTTTGCTGCCTGTGTTAGCTCGAGCTAAAAGCATCTCCACCACCAACTACACACTGTTCAGGGTCGCAGGTGATGCTTGAGCTGCTGGCCTCGATGTGAGGCAGCACGGTGCAGGATGGACAAACTCTTCGGTGGAGAGAAAGCAGCTTCCAGCAAGGTAAGGTCTTCAGTACCTGACATCACACTATGTGTGGGGTTAGCTCTCCAGAAGCGAGCTGTAACTAAGTACGTATACTTAAGTACCATTTTGCTATTTTGTATTTCTACCCCACTACAATTCAGAGGTAAATGGTGTACTTTTACGATGTACTTAATAGCTTTAGTTACTTTACAGATCTGGATTAATGGTGTGAAATATAACCAAGTGTTGAATCAGACTTTAGTTCCACCTGGAGTAAATCCACCAGCTACCCTGCAGTATACAAAGTCATTCAAACTAGCTGCACCTTTACCAGCTTTGAGAACACTTTCATGATCAATCATTATAAAACATATCATATATATTCTGAAATGGACCAATCTGCACAACGACTACTTTGACTTTTGGTACTTTAAGTATATTTCGGTGCTAATACTTTTGCACTTTTACTTGAGTAACATTTTAAATGCTGGACTTTTACTTGTAACAGAGTATTCCTACACTCTGGTACTTCTACTTTTACTCAAATACAAGATCTGAGTACTTCTCCCACCTCTGATTACATCACATTATGTGTGTGTTTAGTTTTACAGAAGCGAGCTTTGAGCAGAGGTGGAAAAAGTACTCACATATTTTTGCTCGAGTAAAAGTAAAAAAACATTGTAAAAATAGTAATACTCAGTTGCAAGTACAAGTCCTGCTTTAAAAACATGTACTCAAAGTAAAAGTACAAAAGTATTTGCTTCAAAATATACTTTAAATACAAAATGTAAAAGTACTGATTTTCCGATAAGGCCCATTTCAAATGAAAAAATATTACATGTTTGTATAATTATTGTCAATGTTGCAGCATAACATGAAAATACTCAAGTGAAGTACAAGTACCTCAACATTGTACTTAAGTACAGTACTTGAGTAAATGTACTTAGTTAATTTACACCACTGGCTATGATTATATATGTACATGTAGTGGTGGAGGTAGTGCTCAGAACTTTTACTCTGGTAAAAGTCGCAATACTAAATTGTAAAAATACTCTTTTACAAGTATATGTCCTTCATTCAAAATTGTATTCAAGTTTAAGTATTTTGATGCAAGTATTAATCAAGTACCAAAAGTAAGAGTACTCGTTTTGAATATGGCCCATTTCTAGGGGTGTAACGGTTCACAGAAGTCACGGTTCGGTTCATACCTCGGTTTGGGGGTCACGGTTCGGTACGGGTTCGGTACAACAAGGAAAAGCAAAAAAAAGTCCCCAATGCATACATTTTTTTGCTGTTATTTATTTTTAACAGTAGTGCAAGTTTTGGTATGAAAATAAGGAACTCTAACATTTGGAATCATTAACTGTATTACACAGTTAAAAACAAACCACAAACAGTAACACACACACTCAGATGGCCATATTATGTATATTGGCTGATGTCAAACAAAAAGGTTAACTAAACTGTACAACTAAAACGAATGTCTTGGAAATATTAAAATAAATAATAAGAAAGTGTTTCAATCCCAATCAATACAAGGCAATACAGAACTGTATAACATCTCCTGATGTCAAAATATAAAGTAAATACAATGATAAATATAAAAATAAAATAAAATCTATACCTTTAGGAGCAATGTCTAACATGTGTAATTAACTTGTGAGTGTGTGAGGCCATTATGCCTAAATAAAGGTACTCAAGCTTTACTCTATTTTCAAGTTGTTCTTCAAAAAGATGAGTTTGTCTACGTTGTCAGCAGTGAGGGCAGGTAACTGTTCGCGGTAACTATGTCACCTGCCGTCGAGAAAACCCTCTCGCTGGGGACTGAGACTGACTCGGATGTGATTGAGCATGTTTGACGTGTTACCACTAGCATACTGTCGAACAACGCCGACACAGTCCTAGTCCGATCCACAACTCGCACCCCATCATTGTTGTAGTCCACAGGGAACCCGAAATGTTCCCACACACCTGATTTAAAAGAAGCAGGTGGGTCTTCTAGCTCCTGTGTGTTGTGTGAACTCGCCATAGATACTAACTTTTCTTCTTCATATATTGTGTTCGTTTTGTTGTGTTTTGTTCTTGTTCTTCATTTTTTATTTACGGGCGGCTGGCTTTTAGGCGCAATACCGCCCCTGGATTATATATAGTGTAATACTGCCCTGAGTGACAGACTTTTTTCCCACTCGTAAAAAAAGGCGTATTCGCCGTGTTACTGCATGTGCCGAACCGTGACGACCAAACCGTGACGGTACGGGACGAATACGGATACCGTTACACCCCTACCCATTTCAGAATCATATGACTTGACTAAGATTGTTGAAGCATCAATGTGTTTATCACAGTTGTTGAAGGTGGAGCTAACTTTATTTACTTTGTGTACTGCTGCTTTATATCTGATCCTATAATTATTATTATATGTTTTAAAAAAAAATATATATATTAGCTAATATTCCAAATCTATGAAGTAACTAAAGCTGTCAGATGATTCTAGTGGAGTAAAGGTATTGGATTCCAGAATGCAGTCAAGGTGAAGCAATAGGTAGCATCATTTGAAAATACAGTACTTGCGTTAATATACTTTATTACATTCCACCACTGCCTATACTGTATGTATACCGCATATCTTTTCAGACATCAATTCATCTCCATTAACAACTCCAAATCCCCCACAGTCCCCGTCAATCATGGCGTCCCTCAGGGTTCTGTACTTGGTCCCCTTCTGTTCATCATCTACATCCTCCCAATTGGACAAATCCTCCGTCAACACCAACTCCAGTTCCACTGTTATGCTGATGACACACAGCTCTACCTCTCAACAAAAACTCCAAACATCTTTCATTGTGTTACTTTTCTAGTTTTAAACCTGATGTTTATAAGCTTCTTAGTTTTTGCAACAATCTGTAAATATACACAACTTTATAATAAAATGCACACATTTACCTTTTTCTAGACTAAACACAGGTATGAGGTGTAGGGGGCGGTTTGGGAATGGGCCTATGTTTGAAGGACCAGGCTCCGGAGTTGTGGATGTCAGGGATGTGACATTCAAGTTGTTGAATTTCAGTTTAGTTTGACTGTATTTTGATTTCTTATGTGCCGGTTCTTCTGACATGTTTGCAAGTGTATCTATCTAGTAGGGGTGTAACGGTACACGTACCCGTACCGAAATTATTCGGTACGGGCCCTTCGGTTCGGTACAGGTGTGTACCGAAGTGTACCGAACGAATATAACGTTAAACGTAAAAAATTGAGAACGTGAATAACTTTTTGGAAGTAATCTCAGGTGCTGCGTCGCAGCATTCAGAGTAATTTGCTCACATTGGGTTCAACGCGTCATAGAGCGAGCAAGTCATTTCATTGGATGAGAGGCATACTATGAGAGCTGGTCAGAGGGATGCGTTCATATGTAGTCAGTAATTTGAGGAACTATCAAAAATTAATGGCGAACGCAGATAAAGTTGAGCTCGAAAATCCTCCAGCATCATTGAAGTCTCCGGTTTGGGAACATTTTGGTTTCGCAGTTACGTACAAGGATGACGGACAAAGACAGGTGGACCGAACCAAAGCTGTTTGTCGGCATTGTTCAACTAAAATTGGTTACGCGGCTGACAATACATCAAACTTGCACACTCTTGAAAAGGCATCACCCGAACGTGAATATCACCGGTACCAAAAGAAAAAAGACTGAAGTGCAAACCCAACTCCCGCTAGCATTCAAGCCTCCACCACTCACAAAAAGTTCAGACCGAGCCAAAGCTATTACAAACACCAAATATCCTTATGTTGCCATGTTAGCAAAGCGCTACCTGGCTGTATCTGCTACCTCTGTCCCTAGCGAGAGGGTTTTCTCCACATCAGGAGACATTGTTAGTGCCAGCAGATCTGCCCTTTCGGCAAGCAATGTGGACAAGTTCATTTTTATTTAAAAAAACATGAAAATACAATGACAAGCAAGTCCTAATGTCAAACTGGCTGCTTAGTTGCTAGTACAGTAGGCTACAGTTCAAATACAGATTATTTCAGTTCATCGAAATGCTGCTGCACCTTAATGTTCATTTTATTATATTTTGTATTTATTTGAGTGAATATTCACAGTTTAATAATAATTAAAAACCCAAAACTAATAGTTTATGTTTTGTGAGTACTAGTACAGTAAAGTTCAAATACAGATTATTTCAGTTCATCAAAAAGCTGCACCTTAATGTTTATTTTATTATATTTTGTATTTATTTGAGTGAATACATTATTCACAGTTTAATAATAATAATAAAAAAATATATATATATGTTTTGTTTTGTGAAAAAAAATTCTGCTGTGCCGAAAACGTACCGAACCGAACCGTGACCAAAAAACCGAGGTACGTACCGAACCGAAATGTTTGTGAACCGTTACACCCCTACTATCTAGGTTAACGGCTGACACACACAGAACAACGTAACAAATAACGTAAACAACGTAACAAATAAACACATCCAAGCTTTTTTATTGGTTGTAATGTACATGGATACATTTGAATGGTGTGACAATGTCCTATTTGATAGGATTACAATGTACTTATTCTTCCTGTTATGTCTGCCTGCTGTATTTTACCTAATGCAAAGTGACCTGCTCCATCGAAATCAGTCGCATTGACCCGAAGACACATTTTGAGTTGTATACACTGCTGGAAAGAGGAGATTCCTAGCTTTCTAATGATATCAGGATTGTTTTTGTACTATATTAAGCAAAATATGTCACATTATATAATGACTGTCACCGAGTCATCATTTTGAGAAAAAGGCCTTCAAAGTTTCCTCTTCTCTGGATCGATCTGATTGATTATTAGCGGAGCAAATTATCAAAGTAGTACGGAGGGAAGATATTTTCGTTTGGATTACTGGTCTGGGGGAAGCTCGCGAGTGTGTGCGTGTGTGTGTGTGTGTGTGTGTGTGTGTGTGTGTGTATACCACGTGTGTGTGTTTGTGTATTTTTGCGTTTGTGTGTATTGTGTTTGTTTCCCTCACGAGATACACCGGCTGTTGTCAAGTTACTCCGTTCTCCGCTTGTAATTATGCCGTTACAAGCTTCAAAGCTGTATTTATCATCTGAATTTGCCGAAACAAGTTTAATATTCTGAAAGCCAAGACTTTGTTTATTTGAAATCAGATGAAAACAAACTGTAACGGACCCTGCGGTGTTATCTATGATTACTATATGCCTTACATTCATAATTTCAGCGGAGGGAGAGGGAGCGGCGCTGTGGAAGAGCAGAGTGGCGAGTGAGAGGCGAGCTGTGTTCTTCCCTTTACAAGCTTCAGAAATGCCTGTAGCTAATGAGATTGAATATAACAATCAAAAATAACAAAATATACACGGCTAGATCAGATGGCGTTTTAGATGCGACTTTAGAGTAGAGGGGAATTATTGAAACGGGATTTGTACAGTGTTCCGCGGAATCCACTCCTGCGAAAATGTGGGGCAGGGCTGTAAAGTGGGGGGGCCAATGGCCCCCCCCCTGCTTCCGGCGCCCTTGCCCCACCCTCACTTTCCTCCCTCACGTCAACCAGGTCACAAAAAACGCTTTCTTCCATTTAAAGAACATCGCCCGCATTAGACCCTCCCTCTCATCGACCGCTGCTGAAACTCTGATCCATGTTATATCCATATAACATCCCGACTGGATTACTGCAACAGCATACTTTTTGGATCACCTGCATTCATACTAAAAAAACTTCAATATGTCCAAAACTCAGCTGCCCGCTTGCTCACCTCCACCCGACCACATCACCCCTATCCTCCATGACCTCCACTGGCTCCCCATCAAACACCACATTGACTTTAAAATATTACTTTTCACTTTCAAAGCCCTCAACAACCTTGCCCCCCCCTACCTCTGTGACCTCATCCAACGACACACCCCAGCACACCTCAGGTCTGCTGAAGCTAACCTACTGCAGCACATCAGGACAAAGCTCCGGACCTGGGGTGACAGGGCCTTCGCAGCAGCCTCCCCCACACTTGAGTCTGCCAACTCTCTCACATCATTCAAACAATCCCTCAAAACTCACATTTTCACTCTTGCCTTCAACTCCTAATCAACTAACCCCTTGCCCTTATTCCTCCTAGCTTAGCACTTTCTACTTTTGTTGTTATTTTGTTTTACTTGCTTGTAAGCGCTTTGAGCACCAGGAAAAGCGCTTTATAAATGTAATGTATTATTATATATATAGAATATTGAAGGATTTACCTACAATTGATTGCTCTAAAAGGATATTAACCATACTTCATTTCATATTTGTTCCCACTAATCTTTCACTTTATTTTTAATTTATCTTTCTTAATCTATCATTGTCCCATTTTTTTCATAGCAACAATTTAATGACAGGAGTACCTTAAGGCTTGTAGTGGAGATGTAGCAGCTCTTTGCTGAGAACACAAAGAACCCCCCCTCCTTCAGAAAAATGTTATTTAACTTCTGCTTCAATTCGTCTATGAATCAATTATGTTAGGCTAAATAAATAAATGTTGATCTATTGTATATCTATTTTAGATATCCACCTTCAATGTCCATGTACTGCCTGTTAATATTAAACTTTGTGCAAAATACACACATGTACAATATACCCTGGTGCAATTCACACTTTTCTGTATTTATATGGTCACTTAAAAAAAACTTTTATTCAACATGGTCTACCTATTTGATATTGACTTATTGTGTATTTTATGATTAATAACGTGTTCTTTTAAAAAGAAAAGTTCTATATTTAACTTTATTCCCTTCACTTTATCTGCACGATACTTCTGCAGTTGTAATAATGTAAATGTTCCCATTACAGGACAAATAGAGGAATTCTGATTCTGATGAAGTGTCTTGGTTTTGACTGTATTCTTTATTAGCTGAACCGCTGGGTGGACCCGTCCTTCGCTGAATTGCCAGAAGAAAGCTTTGCTGTGTCCAGAAGGAGAAAGGCTGTGAGCTCCAAGGCTGAGGTAAAGAAGCCCAGGAAGAGGGCAGGAGAGGCAGGCCGCTCAGAGCCCCCCACCCCCCCCCTGGTGAGAGAGCCCGCCCCCTGGGACCAGGATGAGTCCTGGGTGGACAGACACTCGCCCCGTTCACAGGTCAGCATCCTCACTCTTTCCATTTGTTCTGATCTCAGTGAATACATTCGGATACAGCTGCTGTGAATTCCTCAACTGTTCTAAACACATTGGCAATTTATTTTCACTATTACACTTTCAATACAGTATTAGCTCAATATCTTACAAAAACGATAGGTGGCTGATATGATTATATTCTTCATCATCATATTAAAATATTTCTGCTAAAGTACATTTTCTGTAAAGGCAGTTAACAATTTTTTTTTTGGCTACAACACTGAGATGTTTTTGGCCAACTATATGGCAAATTAAGACATTTCAAATCTAAATCCATAAGGCCCGCTAAATAATTATAATATTTGTTCTAAACTGTCTGTTTGTGTAGGCTGAGCTGGCTGTCCACAAGAAGAAGATCGAGGAAGTGGAGAGCTGGATAAAAGTTCACACAAACACATCAAAGGTACTGAATGTTTCATGATTTCAGTTACCAAAACTTCTACTTCCTTTCAAACAAAACAAGCTAATTCTAATGTGCTGTTGATGCTAACCTACTGCAGCAGGACTAAGCTAAGACTTAGCTCTGGACATGGGACCCCCCCCCTCCCTGTAGAACTCCCTTCACAGTGTCATAACGAAAGTCCAACACTCTGTCATCTATAAAAAACAACTCAAAACTCAACTTTCACTCTTGCCTTTGAACTATAGTCCTCTACCTCACCCCCTACTTTATTTTGTCTCAGAACTTTAGTAGCTTGCAAAGCATCTATGAGCACTGTGAAAAGGGCAATATAAATCTCAGGTATGAGTATTATTATGTACTTGGTCCTGTCTGGAGACCAAGGGTGCGTTTCACTTCGATTAAATGGATTCCTTGCGTCCCTCACTTGCGTTGTTTCCCTGCGACTAGTCCCTCCCACCAGGGAAGCATGGAGAGACGCAAGGAAACCACGAGAAGCAGGGAAATGAGTTTTAAGAGCAATGGGACTTTGTTTCGGAGCCCGGCCGGGCCCAGCCCGAAAAGGCAACGTGGGCAACACCTCCGCTTCTCCGTCCCGCGGGCCCACCACCTACGGGAAACAGCGATGGGGTCGGGTGCGCTGCCAGAAGGGTGGCAGTGAAAGCGGAGGGTCTCGACGGACCAGACCCGGGCGACAGAAGCTGGCTTTGGGGACGTGGAACGTCACCTCTCTGGGGGGGAAGGAGCCGGAGCTTGTGCGGGAGGTGGAGCGTTACCAGTTGGATCTGGTTGGGCTCACCTCCACGCACAGCGTCGGCTCTGGAACCTTACTTCTGGATAGGGGTTGGACTCTATTCTTCTCCGGAGTTGCTCAAGGTGTGAGGCGTCGGGTGGGTGTGGGGATACTCACAAGTCCCCGGTTGGGTGCTTCGTTGTTGGAGTTTACCCCAGTGGACGAGAGGGTCGCCTCCCTACGCCTGCGGGTTATGGGGGGGAAAACTCTGACTGTTGTGTGTGCTTATGCACCCAACAGCAGTTCAGAGTATACGGCCTTCTTGGAGACCCTGGAAAGAGTCCTGTATGGGGCTCCTGAAGGTGACTCTTTAATCTTGCTGGGAGACTTCAACGCACATGTGGGCAATGATGGAGACACTTGGAGGGGCGTGATTGGGAGGAACGGCCCCCCTGATCTGAACCGGAGTGGTGGTTTGTTACTGGACTTCTGTGCTAGTCATGGATTGGCCATAACAAACACCATGTTCGAACAAAAGGATGCTCATAAGTGTACGTGGTACCAGAGCACCCTAGGCAGAACGTCCATGATCGATTTCGTTATCGTATCATCGGACCTGAGGCCGTATGTTTTGGACACTCGGGTAAAGAGAGGGGCGGAGTTGTCAACTGATCACCATCTGGTGGTGAGTTGGGTCGAGTGGCGGGGGAAGCCTCTGGATAGACCTGGTAAGCCCAAACGTGTAGTTCGGGTGAAATGGGAACGTCTGGAGGAGGCCCAAGTTCAGGAGGCCTTCAACTCACACCTCCGGCGGAGCTTTTCGGGCATTCCTGTGGAGGTTGGGGACATTGGTGTTCAAAGCCTCTATTGCCGAAGCCGCGGCGGGGAGCTGTGGTCTCAAGGTCCTAGGTAACCCTCGAACCTCCTGGTGGACACCGGTGGTCAGGGAAGCCGTCCGACTGAAGAAGGAGGCCTTCAGGGATTTGTTATCCTGGGGTACTCCCGAGGCAGTTGCAAGGTGCCGACAGGCCCGAAGGGCAGCAGCCTCATCCGTGGCCGAGGCAAAGCAGCGGGTGTGGGAGAAGTTCGGAGAAGACATGGAGAAGGACTTTCGGGCGGCACCAAAGTTGTTCTGGAAAACTGTCCGACACCTCAGGAGGGGGAAGCAGGGAACCATCCAAGCTGTGTACAGTAAGGATGGGACGTTGTTGACCTCAACTGATGGAGTGTTAGGGCGTTGGATGGAACACTTTGAGGAACTCCTGAACCCGACAACTCCGCCCTCTATGTTAGAGGCAGAGCTGGAGTATGACGGGGGATCAACACCAATCTCCCGGGGGGAGGTCACTGAGGTCGTCAAACAACTCCACAGTGGCAAAGCCCCGGGGGTGGATGAGATCCGCCCAGAAATGCTGAAGGCTCTGGGTGTTGAGGGACTGTCATGGTTGACACGTCTCATCAACATTGCGTGGAAGTCGGAAACAGTACCGAAGGAGTGGCAGACCGGGGTGGTGGTTCCCCTTTTTAAAAAGGGGGATCAGAGGGTGTGTGCCAATTACAGAGGCATCACACTACTCAGCCTCCCCGGGAAAGTTTACTCTAATGGCGCGTTTCCACTCCACTTCGCTCGGTTTGGTTAGGCCTTATTAGGCCCGGCTCACTTTAATGCTGCGTTTCCATTACAGTTTAGGAACTGGGGCAGTTACTATAGTAACGCAGTGTAGGCGGAGCCGTGACGTCATCTTCAATGAGAGCCCCAGAAAAATAACACAGCCGTTAGCTGTTATCACTCAGAGCTCACAGCTCTTCATATCTGTTCAGAAACTTGACAAAAGTTAAACAAGTACAAACCACAGACTGCCATGGCGAATACAGTCGCTGGTTTATTTATGTCTGTATAGGCCGTTGTTGTGAGTGTGGACGGTCGGAGCATATATAACGTTAGCTTAGCCAAGCTACATTTAGAAAACACGCATTTTAAAAGGGTTTTTCGCCTGCCGTCTGTCTGCAGACTTGTCAAAGCATTAATTCATGGTTTTTACTAACCGGTATCAGTATGTTGTTACTTCGGCATCATTTTGAAACGTGTATTACAATGAATTCACGGTCAAATATGTTCATCTTGTTGTAGTTGTGGCCCCCTTGCCAGCGATTCTCTCTCTAGTTTAGCATACTCAGCCCGACTCAGCCTGGTTGTTCCTGGCCCTAGAACCACGATTTAGTCGGGCCAGAAAAAAGGTGAAAAAGTAGCCCCGGGCCAAAACTAGGCCAAGTGGAAACGCAACCAAAAACGGGCCCCGCACGGCTCGGCACGCTTAAAGCGAGCTACCCGCTGCAGTGGAAACGCGCCATAAGGTACTCGAAAGGAGGGTCAGGCCGATTGTCGAACCTCAGATTGAGGAGGAACAATGCGGATTCCGTCCTGTTCGTGGAACGACGAATCAGCTTTTTACTCTCGCAAGGATCCTGGAGGGGATCTGGGAGTACGCTTATCCGGTCTACATGTATTTTGTAGACTTGCAGAAGGCGTATGACCGAGTTCCCAGGGAGTTACTGTGGGAGGTGCTGCGGGAGTATGGGGTGAGGGGGTCTCTACTCAGGGCCATCCAATCTCTGTACTCCCAAAGCGAGAGCTGTGTCCGGGTCCTCGGCAGTAAGTCGGACCCATTTCCGGTGAGGGTTGGCCTCCGCCAGGGCTGCGCTTTGTCACCAATCCTGTTTGTAATATACATGGATCGGATTTCGAGGCGTAGTCATGGGTGAGGGGGTCTGCAGTTCGGTGGACTAAGGATTGCACCAATGCTTTTTGCAGATGATGTGGTTCTAATGGCTTCATTGGTCTGCGACCTTCAGCACTCACTGGATCGGTTCGCAACCGAGTGTGAAGCGGCTTGGATGAGGATCAGCACCTCCAAATCTGAGGCCATGGTTCTCAGCAGGAAACCGATGGACTGTCCACTCCAAGTAGGGAATGAGTCCTTACCCCAAGTGAAGGAGTTAAAGTATCTCGGGGTCTTGTTCTCGAGTGAGGGAATAATGGAGCGTGAGATGGACTTATAAGTCCGGACCTGAACCCATGGCTGAACCCATGGCAAGTTGTGTGAGTAACTAAAGCGAACTTATTGTGAGCTAATTATCAATTGAAAATAAACTCATAATCAACTCAAATTCAAACTCGTCAGGTTTATTGTGCTCCCTTCCAACTTGTGTCTACATTTCTCTACAAAGTACAAATGTAAAAAAAGCACTTTTTGCCACTTAGTCTACTAATGACTTATGACAGCAACTACAGTGAACTACTACAAAGTTCAAACATTTATTTCATTTACCAAACTAAAGTAACCAAACAGTCCCTGAGCTGACTGAGCCTAAATCCCTAAAACTTTGCTGAATGGTAGAGTGTAAAGTAGACTAGTATACGTATTACACTGTTACACACCTACTATACAGCAGTGGCGAACCGTCAGGGCCTTCAAGGTATTCAGAGAATACCCTGGAACACTCAGATAAAACAAACAAAAAATCGATTTAATTATATAAATAAAATGTATATAAAATTAATAAATGAGAATCGTATCTGTGTTGTTGATCTGTAATATTACAGTGTTACGTTGATTTGTTTGTCCTTCTCGGACACTACGCATTTCAGTGGTTTTGTGTTAGAAAAGAAAGCAACCAATCAGATCTTGTTCTGGGTCTCTGGGTAAAATATCCTTCAAGGTATTCTACATCCTTGATCGAATGCCCTGGCCGTTGCACTGAATGAGAGCGTACGTTTGGACTGACAGTTTGATCAACCAATCATATATTGATTTGTAGCCAATGGGCGTATTCTTTCAGAGTTTCCCTCGGTTCCAGCGTATTCTAGAAGGCTCGCTAGTTAACTGGCTCAAGACAGAGGATCTAGAGATGAATGCGACGAAGCAATTCATGCCGTTTTATTGTTTTTAACGTTGAAATGACAAGTGCAACAGGTGAAGATGAAGTTGTTGTGGAATTGTTGTGAGTACCCTTTTCAAGACGACAATTCAGTGAAAAGACGGACATTATAATGCCGCGGGGGGGGGGGGGGGGCGGCGGTCGGTGGGGGGTGTGTGTGTCTATAGAAGGTCCAGTTGTGATAGACACGGTTCGCCACTGCCTAACAGTATACACTGTAGTGACTGTACAGTCAGAGTGTACTGTCTGTACACCATGTCTTTTCTACAACTCTACATGTGTACATTATACAGTACATACTACATAAATAGTGATGTACACATACATACTG